GTTGCGCTCTGGAACGTATTATAGGTGACTGTCATGAGCTAATTGATTTGACGCCAAAGTGCTGTAGCTAGCTGAGCACTTTGTTAGTATGCTCAGCTAGCTGAGCATACTAACAAAGTCACGTTTACGCTCTCTCGTCACAACTCGGATCTTCTGAACTGCACGTGTTTCCTACTGTCCCTGAATCCCTATTCAACCCTTTACGTTCAAACTTTGTAACTTCAGTGATTTCTTACTTTTGTGAGAGAATCTGTCCCATGTCTGTTTCTTTATTCACTAAAAGTGCTACAATCCGCTGCAGAGCAACGGAAGCGTGTTAAATATAATTCGGAGTTGATTTTTGCAAACGGAGTGAGTGCAACTCTCATGTCTTCATCTTAGTCGTCTCGTCAGCTTCTCAGTGTTTTCATCTGTTCCACTTTTGCCGCTGATAGTTCAAGCTCTATTGCAGCGAACTTTTTCCGTAGCGACGATTACACAGTGGAAGATTTGTCGAAAATAGCGCACAGAGGAAGAGTATTGAAGAGACTTTTAGCACAATCTAGTGTAAGTTATTGAAATTAGTTTTTGGGTGCTATTTAAAAAATCCTTCTGCTTAGCTTGAGCTCCCTCAAGGTACTGAAATGGAAGAAGGCACGAGTTCCAACGGAAATGAGCGCATTGTTTTCGTGAAAAGACCAGGTTGAGCCTTACTTGTTGTTTGAGGTTTGATATATGACTATCATTTGTTCATCTAGGGGAAAACTCACCTCCATCAGTAGACTGCTTTCACTGCGAACGCTGTCACGACCCTACGGCCTCAGATTTGGGACCCGGACAGTGCATTGTGCGTACACTGTATCTATCCGTAGATCCTGCACAGGTGACTAATCACTTTTTTAATTCAGTATTTTTTGTGCTCGATTTTTTCGTTCTGCGTTCTCATGGAACTTCGGTCATCCTCAAAATGTAGGGAATAGAGAACTAGCATGTGTGAGAAAAAAGTAATATCAAGTGGTCAATCGGCGGTTGTTGAGCGACAGCTGGAACTCCTACCATCAATCGTACTGTGTGAAATCACAGACGAGTTGTCTTCAGACAACCAGGTGGTGACAGTTTACCCTTTCGCCAATCCCAGCATTTTCTTTCAAACAGTCCCCGCGATCAAGTGGTCTGCGAGATGCTATCATGCGTTTGCCATCGTTTCCGCACTCGCAGAGAATATACCACTTTCGTCATTCGAAACGGCGAGATAAAGAAGCTAGAGACGCGTGATTATTGCAACCATTGCAACCACGATTACTTTCACTCTGCAAGACAACGGCTTACGGCATTACCTGGTGCGTCGTAGGGTGATTTCCTGTGCTCTTGCCAGGAGTTGTATGCTGATTGGGATTGCCGACGTCCGACAAACTCGCCCAATGCGCCGGCACCACTGCTGGGGATCTGTGTTCAGTGTTTCCAAGGTTTTTTGTTCGCTTTGTTCTCTATAGGGAGGGACTGGTTCGTGGTCGAGCACCTACTATCCGTAACACTTGCTCGCGGGAAACGTCCCTAAGTGGCAGAACAGTGCATTATCACTGGCTCGCCTAGCGTTGTACTTGCCGAGTACAAATTCGAATGATACAGCGATCTAAAGCGGTTGCCGAACGCCTGGCATCCCAGACGTGTTGTTAACCACGGCGATTGTTTGCCCTTCCTACCAAGGAATGGTTACTGCTTGTTTACTTCGTAGCTTTTTTTTTTCAGAGGTGTCGCATGAACTCGTCTACTGGAGTGGACTACCTTGCACCGTACGAGCCAGGTGAGCTGGTAGATGGACTGGAAGGCGTTGGCGTAGTTGAGGTGTGGAAGTTATTCCATATGTTTTGAGGCGCGCTCTTTAAATCTTTGTTTAGATTGTTGGCGAAAACTGCACGCTCTTACGTCTGGTGATATCGTCACGTCGTGTGCGCACTTATGGCCATGGACGAAAAGGTTCATTGCTGATTGCAGTGATCTTGTAAAGGTCAGACCTTTTGAATATGTAGACCCATTGAGATTTTAGTAGTAGGACTTTAGTTTCTTTCGACGGTATATGCCGGTAGACTTCAGGTGAATCTTCCCGAAGGATTTTCTCCATCTATCATTTTATCGTGTGTTGGCATATCTGGAATGACTTCCCTTCTTGGCATAAGAAAAAAGGTGATTCATAAAACCTTTTCTGACAAAATCACCAATTTTCGCGAAGAGAGCTTCCCGTTTCATTTTCGTTGCAGGCAGCGATTGACAGATCTCGGCCTCAGACAATAGTAATATCCGGCGCCGCTGGTAGTTGTGGGACTCTAGCTGGACAGGTAAGTCTAAAAATTCCAGACAGCATTGTACGATTCGTCTATTATATAGAGAGAAGGGCATAGACTCAATTAAGGTGGAATTAATACTTGTGAGGGTCTTAGTCAAGCCTTTGAGAAAAGTCAGCGTTCACACTTCGCGATGACGCGCTTCGACGCGCTGTATTTGCAACAGCGCTTCTGTAGTATAGACACGACGGAGCCACTGATGGGTATCGATCGGCATCGGACGCTTGTGTTTCGAGGGAGCATAGGATGACAGAAAAACAGGCGCTGCCTTCACACAATCTGATGCTCTCTCATTCTTCTATCCTCTCCCGAATAACGGCCAGTGCCGACCGTTATCAGATTGCTAATTCGGTAACAGGTACCCTCCTGTTCCTCCATACTCTCTCAATACAGAACCTGCCCGCGCCGATCGATTTCTGTGTGCATTCGCGTCTATAGTATTGAAGCGTTGTTGCATATGTAGCGCGTCGATGAGCGTCGTCGCAAAGTCTGAGCGCTGCCGGAGGACGGCTCTAAAAGCCAAACTAGTTTTTTTTTCAAAAAACGAGTTTTGCGTTATGGTACCGCTGTTATACTTTGGAAATGCTGGTTTTGCCCAAGGTCGCATGCTCTGCCCATGGCTTGGTGTTCTTATGCTGATCGCAGTTTTGTATTTTGGTCATCCATTTGTACGAAGAGTCCATCAAATGTCTCTCCTTTCGTTCGTCCCTTGCACTACTCGCTCCAATACGCTGTGTATGGTGTCTGTTCAGATCGCTCGTCTCGAGGGTTGCACTCGCGTCATCGGAATCTGCGGCTCTGAGGAAAAGTGCAGAGTTCTGGTGCGTGCCTTTTTTCTAATTTCTCGGTGTTAGCCTGTTCAATGAAAGCCTTGTGATGCGATTTACAATTTAAAATCAGGTATCCGAGTTTGGATTCGATGGAGCCATCAATTATCGAACAGATGCAATACCTGAAGCTCTTTCATCTCTGGCCCCTGACGGCGTTGATATTTATTTTGATAACGTAGGAGGATTTATCAGCGATGCAGTTATTCGAAATGTAGGTCAAAAATTTGCGATAATATGTCCATGGTATGAAAGTTTTGGAATAGTCTGAAATCCTGCATCTTTAGATGAACCATGGAGGGCGCATAGTTTTATGTGGTCAGATTTCCGTTTACAATACCGATTTACCTTATCCTCCTCCAATCCCGACCCAGATCGCGGAACTGATTCGCTCGAAGAATATTCAGAGGTATTCTCTCTATAGTAAATTCCTGTAAGTTTCCTCGTTTATTCTCTGTTTCCAGAGAACGATTTCTAGTGCTGTCGTACAAGGATGAAATGGATGCCGCCGTAGCTCAGCTATCGCACTGGCTTCAGGAAAATAAGCTCAAGGTTAGTTGCCTTGTTGTAGTCTCGAAAAGCATTGAGGTTGTCGTGACATATGGGAGGTGTATGTCTGAAAAAGGTCCCAAGATTTACAATACACAGTAGAGATAACAACAATAATATTAATTTGGTTCGATTCCATATAGTATTTTGATGACCAAAGTATTTTTATAAAATTTGCTTCAGTTGAAAATTGCTTGATTTCGCGTTGTAGTTTTTATAACTCATAACAATGATCGAGTGTAAGTATTTGTTCAACGGGCCTCAAAGGGTATTTTTCGAAAAACTAGTTCAGTTTCCATTTCGCGCGCGCCGTTGGAGGGAAAGCAAATGAGATTTTGTATCCTTTCTGAATGCTCGCTTGTAACGGAACGGAGGAAAAAGAGCTGTATAGTGACGTTCGAAAGCATTGCTAACATTTCTG